GCCTTTAACAGAGGAAGAGGGGTTTGTCTGACTCCGGCTGCTAACAGCAGCAGTCCCAGACCATCCCAGCAGGCATTACATCTCAGCGTGGGGCTCTTCAAGGGCTAGTTGTCCTAAGGCACCGGCCTTACTGCCTGTCCCCATTTCACTGGTGTTCATCCAGGGAGTGGTAAGGGTAGAAATGCAGCTTTGGGAGGCCTTGCAGACAGTTTTGTTTCAGAGCTGCTCCCCGCCAGCCATCAGCAGTGCCTGCGCCATGCATGTCTCTACTCGCATGCCTTTGCACCGTGCTCGCTCACCTGCCCCACGCCACCCAGAAGGGCTGGAAATGAAAGCACGTATTTGTGGGGGAGGCCGGGCATCAACCCAAAATGCTTGCCTGCTGTTGTTACATAGGCAGAGAAAGCGAGTGGGAAATGCAACCAATGAGCACTACTATGCAGATAGTGCCTCTGTTGTGGGGTTATCTCTTCCTGTTATCTCAAAGACTACATTTCAGAGGCACCAAAGGCAGAAACTGTCTAACAATATCACCTAAAACTAAGGCACATGAGGCACTAGCACCGTATTGAATTCGGTGCTGCTGACAGCCAGGTGGGCAGAATCCAACATCGCCTTAGTCATTTGTCTGCCCTAGCCTTTTCCTTCTCCTTCCCTCTGCGTGTACTTCGATCAAGGCAGCAGCTTACATGTGCTGAGGGAGGGAGAACAGGGCTTGTCAGCACCGTGGGCTCGGCGAGGATGGGGATCACCATGTGCCCAGTGAGACTCGGGAAAGGGGGCGTCTGCTGTGCACTTCCCATGGCAGGAGAGAGCAAAGAGGTGTACCCCTCTTCAAACTTTTTGGAGCCACAGATCGTTCCCGATGGCACCAGCAAAGGCTGGCAGCAGCAAAGCAACCTGGAAGGGGTCTTCCCAGGGCAATCATGACAAAGAAGAATCATGTTCTGAAGCCACTGAAGCACCTTGGAAGTCCCCGCTCCTCTCTCGGCAGGCATGCTGCCCTTAGGCTGACGTGTGCATAGATGGAGTGCCGAGGTGTCATTCAAAGAGGAAAAAAACTGCCCAGAGTGGGTGTTTTGTGGGAAAGGAAAGCTGGAATAAAAAGTAACACTTCAGCAGTGCTGCCTGGGGAAGTGTCACAGAAGGTGAAACTGAGGCAGCTGGTCCTGGGATTAAAAAAAGGAGGAGCAAACAGGAGGCCCAGCAAGGCACACAACACATGCTAACCCTGCCCAAAGGATAAATCACAGAGCTCTGCATGGAAAGAGAAGCCCCACCCAGGATTGTGAGTGTGAGAAAGTTACGACTCAAATCCTGCTTCCCGGTCATCCAGTTCATCTTCTCAAGTAGCTGTTTCTGTGCCTGCCCTTCCCTCTCCATCTGCCCTGTTGTCCGGTGTGCTACATGCATGGAGCCTGGCTTATTCCCTGGGCCAGCTCAGCTGGTGCCCGCCCTCCTCCTCTGCCCCAAATCCCAGCTGGGAAGCCCTGGGCAGTAGCTGGCAGATCCCCATATTGATCCTGACATGGGGCAGCTCCTCACACGTCTGCTCCTCTCTCCCCACAGCTCCCCTTTGCACCTTCTTGGTTCCAGCAGAAGGTCAAGGGGAGCAGCAGCCGTGTTGTGCTGCTCTGCCGCAGGCTTCGTGAAGGCTCCTTCCCCCGGGTCCCTGCTGTTCTTGGAGGGAGAACAGCTCCCCCGCACCAAGGAGGAGAAATTCTGGTGAGGAGGCTGTAGGTTTGCATCCTCACCAGCTTAGGGTTGTTTGCCTTTGCCCTGCCAGGAGAACCCACAAAGGGTGAGAAATTTTGCTCAGTTTCATACTTTCACTGCCACACTCCCCTCCAAAGTGGAGCTGGGAGGCAGTCAGAGTGTCGACTCCTTCCTGGTCTTTCAGCACAGACACGTCAGGGGTGGCTTCCTTCTTGGCAGAAGGTGCTTGAAGCCCAGCTATGTCCAATCAGCCCCAGCTGCACTGGGACAGCAACTTCACCATCTGCCTGAGGAGCTGCAGCTCTCCCTCTCTAGCAGCAGAGCAGAGGGGAATTTTAGCTGGGGGTGAGCCCCTTGAGCAGCCACTCTAGCAACCCTCTGCAAGAGTAAAGGCTAAAGCTGCACTCCTGAGAGAGGGAAGCGCTCCCACAGCCTCTGCTGATTGGTGGCTCAAGGCAGCAGCTGGGCTGCAAGAATGGGAAAAAGGTGCTTTTGTAAACTCCCACCTGCAGGGAGGGGAGGAGCGCTTTGCTGGAGGAGACGGTGAGGAGAAGGCTGGATTTGGCATCCCTCCTCTGAGATGAGAGTGGGAGAGGAGGCCCGGAGGCCACTTTATTGGCACAGGGCCTCTTAATGTGCTTTCCTTCAATTAACTCTTATCATTCTTCCCACAGCATGAGATAGGATCACCCAGCAGGGTTATTTCACAAGCTTGATTGCCACTAGAAACTGATCTTATCCAAAAGTCTGGAGGCCAGACCTCTTATATTATCACTCTCAGCACATGAACAAGCCCCTCATTATCACGCAGCACATGAACGGGCCCAGGGTGACCATCAGCCAGTTTGGGGATCAGAAGGTGACAGCCATGGCAGCCTGCTCGCTGCAAGGCCAGCACCTGCAAGGAGCACTGCTGGAGCACCTTGCCCAGCTAGCTGAGCTCTGCTCTTGCCTGTTGCCTGTAGCACACCCCACAGAGAAGTACAGTCCGAAAAACAAACACAGCATTTTTTAAGCCTTTTGCAAGGCTTCAGCGTGGCTAAGGAGATGATGCCCTGACTGTCAGAATGGAGAAGGCAACACAGTCCCAGCTGGGGTTCATCTCCACATTAGAGCATGAAGATTTGTTGCAGAATAAGGACAAAATCGGTGTCTTTTCCCCATAGCACCATTTTGGCAAGAATCCCAAGACAGACATTTGAACTAGCCATGGTTTCCTACTTGACCTTTCACAGGCTCAGAGTTTTACTTTTGAAATTAAATTAGCTAGCTGGCTCCAGCACCACGTGTGCCAGCGGCAAGACAGCCTCCCTCTGGACTGGCTGATACCCAGCTGAGATACAAACAGGTCTTGCCTCCTTTACTAGAAAGGCCAGGTTTGGGCAGCAAGTGCTGCTGATGTCATGCAGATTAAGTGCTGATGTCATGCAGATTAAGACTGGGATAGAAGATTTGCATCTTGTGTACAACCAACGATTGCTCTTTGGGGTGCCTACTCAGACTGCACAACTGGCTAGCGCTGCAGGAGCGCAGCATGACTACAGACCTGCCCGGATCACAGGGCTGCACTGTCCTCCCATTCCTTCAGCACTGGCTCTGCAGCACATCACCAAGCAAAACTGATCCCTGCTAACATCCCTGCATCTCTCCAACTGAGGAGGACAAAGCAGCATCCTTACAGATCACGGCTCAGCACGTCAGCCCGCTCAGCTCATCCTCCTTAGGAAGACTGGGCAAAAACACTTCATCTTGTGTGACTCATTGGTAGATGTATCTACGAAAGAAGAACCAAGCAGGGTTTCAGCAAGTATCACCAGAGCTGAGCATTTCCTGTTGTTTCTTAGGTCTTGCTGTCAGCTCATTTTCCAGAACTGAAACATCCTCTACAGCCTAAAACCCCAAGATCTGAAAGCTCTATGACACACATTCAGAAGAATTGCTGAGTTTTCAGGTAGGCACCAAGTAGACCTTGGGACTGTACAAGTGTCATCTGTTTCAGCGCATCAGGAACAAACATGAGATACCGCAAAACCAATGGTGACTATCAAAAAAAAAGGCGTCAATCAAAAATAAGTATTGCCCTGATGAGACTCCCATTGTGTGGGGGTACTCTGTGCTCACAGTATTTTCTTGTCTGCCTGACAGAGGTCTGTGTTTTGGTGCAAATCCACCCAACAGGGCTGAATTCAGCTCTTTTTACTTAGCTTTAAGCCTCCTGGCATGTAAGAGAGAAACATTTAGCTGAAAAGAGTCTAGTAACCCAGAGGAGATGTCAGTGAGTTGACTGAGGCTGAGTGCTTCTCTCAGCCCATGGTTACAGCAGTCAAGTGGAGGGCAGTATTAAAACACACACCTCCACACTTCATTCATGCACACTGTTGTGACCTCTGGCCTCAGGGTGCCCGCTGGCAGCCCTGCTCCCCGGGAAGGGGATTCAAGGGCAGCTTTTGGATGTGCTCAGCCCTCACATGCCTTAAGATGAGACAGCAGAGGTTTCCACGGGTCACAGGGTGGTCTCAAGCCCAGTCTTGAGGGCAGGTTTGGACCCATTTGTGACCAACAGTAGAAAAGCTTCTTGCGTCCTGTTCCTATCCTGGGCATGACTTAGCTTCGTGCTGCAGTTCCTTGCCAGAAGAGCAAGCATACCTCTGTGCTTGGCCAGATCACCCTGGCACCACCTCACACATGCACCGGTGCTCCCCCGCAAGGAGCTGTGGCAAGTGTCACCCCACCAGCACCAGCCCCAGGCAGAGGAGGGCGTGGGGCAGCAGCTGGTGGGAAGCCCGGGAGGGTTTCTCAGAGGCATGACAGCAGCTCACCAAGCCTCAGCCAGGGGGAAGGAGAATCCAAAGCATTCCCACAGCTCTGTTAAGCCCACGGCACACAGAACACTAGTCAGTGGCAGGGGGTCCCCAGGAGGAGCCCGCCATCCTCCTCGGGTCCCAGTCACCCTCCCTCTCTCCCAGGAAGGATCGCTGCTCCTGTAACCACAGAGGAGTCCCAGCTCGGCTGCTCTGGAGAGGGCACCGATAAAGCTCCGGCCAGACAGGACAGGCAGAGCGTGCTGCCACAGCAGTCAGGCAGGCACAGTGGCTGTGCCCACCCGCACCCACCTGAGCCCACCAGCTGCCAGCACTTGGGTGGCAGCCAGTACCTCCTGGGAGTCGGTGTGAAACCCCCTGCATCCATGCTTCCATGGCTCAGAGACCAAAATGTTTTTCTTGCCTGCTTTGTATCAAAGCGAGATCCAAATACTGAAGTACCAGCACAGGTGTGAACTAAAATCCTCTCCACTCACTCTTATCTTTATTCATTCACTACAGGGATATAGCGTGTGTCACAAAATAAACAATGAAATGTTTACCAAATGCAACTTTAAACAGCGAAAGCCCTGAAACAAGCTGCAGAAAGCTAAGGCAAGAGCAAGCGATGCTCCCAGGGCTGTGTCCGCCGTCGGAGTTCAAGCAAAGTGACTGAGCTCTGGAGGAAGCAGAGACCTCCTCCTCCCTGACAAGTTACTTCCCTGCCTTTGTACCAGAAGATAAAAATAGTCACATTTCTGAGGAGAAACAAAGGATGGCTGTTTTATCTCCCCTGGCATGTGTAGGATAGTCAAGCCTGAAGGAGGTGCTACACCTTCTGCCTAATGCAACAGTGTGCTAGCTGGACGTCTCATAGTCTGCAGCTCTCACAGCTCTCTCCTCCTCTGCCTGTGCTGCTCTTACACCAGATGGACCAGTGTACCCATTCAGACATTGCTCTAAAAAGCCCTGTCCTTTCTTGGCTCCTTAGCTGTCCCGTAGAGACAATTATGAACATCTCCAAGGACCAGAGGAGCGAGCAGTGTTTGTCCAGCACATGGAGGGTGATTCAGGCGCAATTACTGCAGTCCAACCTCTCCCTTGGGGAGGGAGAGCTCTCAGCAGTTCTCTGTCATGACCTGGTTATACATGAGGTTCTTACCAGCAGAATCAAGGGATATGGTCCTTCATCATCAGCAGGAGGCCCTACAATGGAAAACCATGACAATTCAGATAATGCCACTAGTAATCAGACTGCTTGGCAGTTCGTAACACTTGTTTCATGAGCCAGTGGATACCAGACCTCTTCTATGACAAAAAAAAAAAAAATTGTCTGGATAGCCAAACAGACCTATGCTGAGAATAAAGTTTCACTTTATTTGCCAGCAATGAGTCACAGAAAACTGAGCTGAAACAGTCCTTGGAGAGGCTGTGTAGCACATTCCCCTGGCCCTCAGCAGGACAAGGATGCCTCACAGAGGGTTATCTCATCTGCCCTTTGAAACCCTCAGAGCTGGAGACCCTTTCCCAGAAATCTATTTTGGTGCTTCCTATAAAATAATAATAAAAAAAATCCTGACCTGACTCTCCCTTGCTGCAATTTAAGCCCAAGGTTCCTTATTTTAAACATGGTAGAGAAAGTGAAGTTTATTCCTTTCCCACTTGTGTTTTCCCCACAGAGATTCTTCAAGGCTCTCACATCTCCTTTCAGTATTTCCTCCTCTGCATTAGATGACACCAATTCTTTCAACTTCAGACAAACATTTAATTACATACAACTATTTTTTGATCCAGGAGGTCATACATTTGATGCTGAAGCCAGAGAGCTGTCCTAATGTGTGGCATGAGAAAGGAAAGATACGTGACAAAAACCCTGTAAGATCCTTAGGCACATGTCTCACGAGAGCTTTAGCTTCTTCTTGATATAATCCACCCAAAAATCATGAAGACAACAAGGTGTGGTAAACACAAGTGAACCACAGAAAGACACAGGTTTCAAGGCTCAATGCTCCATACCCTAACATGGAGACACTTGAAGAAAAATGGCCACAGGGATGAATGCCCATCACCTTGAATCTCCTCCACTGGGTCTCTTCATCTCCATTCGGTGCTCTCTCTAATTCTGTGCAACGGAAGCTGCCGTTTCATAGCTGAGCGTTACGCAAGGCTGGGCAGGAGGGGTTCCTGACGATTGGGAACTTTCTTTTCCCAGTGGATGGTGGAGCAGAGAGGCCACCGTCCTCCCCAGGGCAGACGTTCAAGGTCTTTGTCTCGGGTGGTTTGGAGGCCGCTGCTGGGTGCGGGGCCTGGGCCGCGGGGGCAGTGCTTGCTGCTGCACCTGGGGCTGCGGCAGCGGCCGCTGCTGCACACACAGCTGCTTCGGGGCAGGATTGCACGGCGGCCGAGGGAGCTCCCGCACCACCATTTCACTGTCTGCCTGGCGAGCCTGCGGCATTCGCTCCTCGTCTGCAACGACAGAAGGACCCGGCAGTCAGGCTAGTACTCAAGTCTAAGCAGAAATTGGACAGCCAGGGAAAAGTGCTTGGCCCCAGCAAGAAAAAGCCAAATATTGGTCTCATGTGAAAGGCCACTGTGGCGCTCAGGTGTCCCTGCTACTCCAGTGCAACAACCAAAACCAGCTCTGCCTGTGCACCCTGGGCAAACCCCCAAAGCTTTTTGGCTGCCTGGCTGAGGTCAGGATACCTGGGGGCATTTGGGACAGCTCTGCCCTCTCTGTGTTGGGGGAACAGACATTTTCAGGGAGGCTCCAGTGGTCACTGATGGATACCCCTAGCCTGAGCTGTTCTGTCTTCTTGTGGAAAGGGGCCACTGAAGGGAAAGTGAGATGTAATTCCACCCTGATACTATTCATACTGGGATTTCCAGGCACCTGGAAGCCAGAGGTCCATTTTGCCAGCATTAATTTCCCCACATGTAGAAGTAGTAAATTCATGCCAGCTGACTTTTGATCACTGACTCATGATTTCTGAAATGTTAGTCAGTTTAGTTTAGGGACTGAGGGATTTACCTTTTGGGACACTGAAATGGCCTTAAGCACACACCAAACTGTTTTAAAGAGGCTAGTCACCCTCTTTTTTAGTTTACTATTTCTCATTTCAGTTTATCCGTTCTCATTCTTTATAAGTCCTTATTTTCCCAGACTTCTCTTTTTCTTAATTCTTACTGAATCCAGACCCAAGAATTGAGGACATCCTATCACTGCACAGTTGAGGGAGTAATGTATCCCACTCAAATAAGAATAGCCATAATGTAAAATAACACTCAGATGGCTATGCTCACACGAGTGTTGTGCTCACAAGCTATGGCAAGCCTTCTGAGATGACGTCCCATGGTCGCACCCTGGTGAGCTCTTCCAGAGAACGGGGAAAACACTTGCCTATTCATTGTCGTAATTTCAGGGGAAGCAGGAGGGCCATGGCCAGTTACCCATGCTCAGGTGCAGTTGCACTCCCCTCAGCCATGGGACCAGTCATGCTCACCCTTGTTGTCAGCCAGACCAGTGCCACCTTTGAGGTTATCAGCTGAGGTTTCCTTCAGGCATTGCTCTCTTTATCCTGACAAAGGCTGTTGTGGTGTACAAAGGAGCTTTTACTCCCATTTTGTAATTCAGGAACTGACTGACACAGAGACTAGCTGTTACTTGAGACCATACAGGAAGCCTGAAACAGGGTGTGGGGGCAGGACTTGGAAACAAGCCTTTAACGCCAAGGTGCTCCCCGACCTCCGTCCTGCTTTAGCCTCCCCTTCCAGTGGGCCAGGCAACACTTCTTGACTGGCAGCTCAGTATCCTCTGTCCACCCAAACTAGCAGCAACATCCAGGTTGTAATTCAAGGCAACCTCTGCATCAAGACTGAGAACCCACTCTCAAAGAAGACTATGGCAGAATATTTCCTATGGTTTTAAAAAGGCTTGAATTTTGGACGACAGATGAAATCTCCACCCACTCTGAAAACCTGAACTCTTTAAAGTGCCCCAAATTGGACCTCCAGTGTTGATAGGCCTCTAAGGACATCGTTTTATAGAGAGGACAACTTCTGTGAGACGTCTGAGGAAACTCACAGAAAGGCTGAGCCCTTCTTGCCCCTTCTCACTATCTACAATGTTTCCAAATGTGGCTAATGATTTCAAGAATCCTAATTTTACACCATATAAATGTAATTAAAAAAAAATCTGCTGATGTGTATATTTTAGCCCTACGGATGCTCATGACTGGTGGCCTTGACCTCGTAACTGGTGGCCTTTAGAGGAGCAGTTCTTCCCCCATGAATAAACAAAAGGCCTTGAGAACAAAAAGTCTTTTGTTCAAAGCATATATCAGAAACAGAGGCTGGCAATGCCAGCCAATCTACTGAGATTCACCATATGCCAAAACCAGGTTCTCACTCGTGCCAGGGCAGAGAACATGCTCCTGCCCACAGGGTTGCTCTCAGCAGGAAGCTCTAAGATTTCAGGGGGCTAGATAGCAACATAAAGCCCTTAAACACTTACCATCATCTTCAAGCCTTTTTGCTTTCTTCTTCTTGATACAATAAATAAGCAAAATCATGAAGATGACAAAGAAGATTGCACCTCCTGCTATGCTTAAGATGAGATAAAGGTCCAGCTGGCCTAATTAAGGAAATGAAAGAGGATGTTAGAGGGAAATAAATAACTTGCACAACATCTACCTAGAATTCTATATTTTCTTCCATTGGCTGTAAAGACAGCCCCAGTGAGAGAGCCCACCCTTTGCCTTTTCTCTATACACATCAGAAAGTTGCCAGTCTTCATTGTGGAGAATTCTGATTGCTCCCTGATGGATTCAAGTTTCTGCAGAAAACTGAAACCAGATCATTCATGTGTGCAAGCTCATCTTATTTAAATTACCACGAATATCCTGTTCCTGCTACCAGTGGACCCTTTTAAGGACAACAGGCATCCAGGCAGTACTCAGCATCTAACAAAAATAAACTTTTTAAGTACTTCCTACTGAGCTGGAAACACTGAGACTAGTTTGCTTCATAGTATTTTGGTACTTCCTCCTCAACTTTTGGCTGTACACAAATTTAAAAAAAATAGTGAAAAGAACATAACCAAATATAGCCTCAAAACAAGAGTTCAGTTTGCCCAGTGAGCAAAAATTTATATGAGTGGTTCTTATTTTGGCCAGATAAGATTTTCTGGACACTAGCCTTTCTTTGCCACCTCCTGCTTGGGCTGTCCTGGCATTTGTTCACACTCAAGCACAGGCACTGTGGAGCTGAACCCAGCAGAAGTTCGCCTTCCTCGGTTCCCTGGGGGACAAAGCTCCAAAGGAGACAACACCACACCACTGGTACCACCGTTAACACTCACTGAGCATGCACGTGGAGAGCAAAGAGCGGTGACACCAAAGCTTAGATGTCTGCAGTATAAAGGCCACCATGAGCCTGGGCTGCCCCAGTGGAAAAAAAGACAAGTAGCCTCAGTGATGCGGTGGTCCTCATCTGTTTGAAGCTGCCAGTGTTACACCAAGGCGTATTTTGCCCTTTCCATGCCTGTTTCTTCCAGCTAACTATAAGGTGAGCCCAGGCAGATTCACACATAGTTACACTTATATGAAAAGTTTGCTGAGCTGAAGCCCATCACGGAGAGAAGAAAAATAATGTGCAACTAACTTCCCCACCATGAAGATGTAAATCAAGAGCAAATCCCTTGAAATCAATGCCATGGATTCACATACATAGGAGAAGAACCTAGGCTGCATTTTCCAAAAATAAACTGTTAATTTATGTCATGGTAGCTTTGTAGTTTTAGACTACCTTACTGAAGTCAACTCTTTGGCTTTGGACTGATTGACTGATCGACTGAAGCCAACCTTTGAGAAGTATTGTTAGTTTTAAAGGAATAAAGTAAGACAAAAATGAGGGGGAAAGTGCCTTCTGCCTTTTGCAGACCGCTGTGTGTAATTAAAACACTTTCAGGTCCACCCCCTTGCTTTCTCCTTTACTTCGCTGGTTTACTACTAGTGATGGTTAATGCCTCTTCGGTTTGTCAGGATGCTGACACCAAAAAGTCTGTCAGGATACCTCTGGCAACTTTTGGAAGAGTCAGAAGTGATGGAGGGGAGGGAGAAAACGATGAAGTGAGCAAGAATCTCTCTCTCATTCATTCACCCTTCATCCAGCCTGATCTCACCGGCAGGCTGCATTTTCCCCCCAGCAGACTTCATCTCCAGTGGAAGCAGCATTACAGTGTGCCCCGGGGGCCTCCCTGCCACCCACAAGGCTCTTGACTCCTGAAAAACCTCCCCGCCTCTTCCAGCAACCCCCAAGACTCACTGGGCACAGGGGAAGACGCTTTTGGCCGCAGGAGAAGAGGAGGAGCGTGGCCCCCCTCACACCCCACTGCGCCCGGCTGTCAGAGCAGGGATGTGGCAGGGGTGGCAGTGGGGCAGGCAGCGCCAGGGTGGGGAGGGTGGAGGTGCGGCGAGGCTGGGGAATGCACTCGCATCCCAGCCACCACGGCAGCACCCAAACCCAGTAACTCCGGCGGCGCTGGGCTCACAATACTGCGTACCGGGAACCACCACTGCTCCTGGCACCCAGACCCCTCCTGCAGGTATGTGCAACTGGTCAGGCTTTGTGGGTCTGCCCTAGCAGATTCTGGCAAAAATAGATTTTTTTTTTTTTACCTGAGCACTTAATTACTTTTTCAGCTGCTTTTTCGCTGACTTGGTTCTTAACAACACATCTGAACATCCCAGAATACCGTGTGTGCAATTCTAAGCTTGTTGCATTCTTTTGGATTTTTTTGCTTTTATCTTGAGTCAGTTCTATTATAAATGTTTCGTCCTTAGTCTTCTGCCGCGCTTCACACTTGACAGATATGGTTTTATTTATGCATTCAGCATTGAGGATAGGCTGAGGGACAGGCTCTGAAAAAGAAGAGACGGGACAGGCATGTCTGTGATGTTTCTGCTTTCGGAAACCTCCATTATTAAAAAGAACAGAGAATTGGCCCCCAATAAGCGAGTAACACCAGTGAATGAGAGCAGAGAAGAATGAAGAGCAAATTAGACCTCTACTACAGAAGTAACGTGGCAATGATAAAGAAAATGTAGTATATTAGCCTACATAGTTGGCCTAGCAAAGCAGAGCGGCACCACCAGGGCTGGGCGACTTTCAGGCTGAGCCTGGCTCACACCCAGCCAGGCCAGGGGAGGAAGCTGTGCTTTTGGGAGAGGTGCCAGATGAGAGGGACTCAGAGCCACAGCCCCCTCTAACTCTGGCCCCAATCTTTTGGTGCAAATGAAGTTGGCTCTGATCTGCTGGTGCCCATCAGGAGAGATTTCCTCCAAGGCAGGACAAACAGCTACTTATAATGCTTTATGTATTACCAACAGCACCCAGCTAGCACAACAGCCACAGCACGAAAACCCATCAAAACAGAATAGAAAACACAAACCAGACACCTCTTAGCTCTCAATGAGGTTATGACAGAGAGAACTGATTTCTGTCTGATGTCCTGCAAACAGCTAGCTACATTTCAGTTCCAGATTCTCTATCATGGGTGGCACTGAAAGAGCCAGAAAAGCCTGCGGGGCTTTCCTCAACTAGGGGCAACTAGCAGGGACATCAGATGGAAAAAACGTAATTTCTACCTTTTAGACCAGGTAAACAAAAAAATGCCAGGGCCACCTCTAGTTATAGGCAGTGTAAGTTATAGAGAGTATAAAATTCAAAGCCAGTAAGGTCTGCTTGTAGGAAATTCAGTCTAGTTTCACACTGTGACATCTGCAGTCACCCCTTCCTCATTAAGCCCACTCTTCTTCTGCAAGCTGTAACCTATCACGGGGGGGAACACCCCAGTGTCAAACACTGGAGTACAAGTCCTGGTGATGTAGTTGTGTGATGATATTATTTTTTGGAACAACTGTTTGTCCAACCCTAGTAACAAAGTATAATCTGTCTGACAAATGACTCTGGAACCTAACAGTTACTAAAGGACTTTACTTCCATAACCGTGTGTCGGAGGCAAGGCAACCTCTCTGCTACATGGTAGGTGAAATGATGCAGTACATAGCTAGGTTGGAACCTTAAACTGAAATTGAACCCAGGACACCCCAATGACAGCTCAGTGGCTTAAAGCATGAGTAAGTAGCATCAGACCCTGATGACTTTGTGAATCTGTAGACAGTTTGCAATAATAATTCACAAAGTAGTGAGATGCCCTTACTGCTCAGCAGCCTGTTAGCCGCAGGGCCTCCCACCACACGGTAACCCTGCTAAAGCCATTCCAGCTGTTGTTGCTGCCTTATAAAAGCACCATTTCTGTTGTGCCAGCTGGTGCCCTCAAACTCAAGATGTTGGCAGAGCTGTGCATGCTGGCTGAAAAAGGACAGAGCAAAATCATCCTTTTGATGGGAAAAAACCCCCACACTTAGCGGCCTGGAGAGGTGGCACCAGCCATAAAGGAGCACAACAACCACCCCCACCTTCCCTACTGAATCCCAGAAGCTTCGGGCTGCTACCGCTCTGATCTGTCAGGACAAGATACAGCACAGGAATGAAGGCTGCCTTCCTGCTTTGAACCCATGCAGCAGAGGTCCCCAGGCATGTGCTTAAGTGTGCTTTGAACAGCACAGTCTTCATATTTGTTGTGTGGCGTTACGCAGGAGTCTTCTTCCCCTGCAAATTCAACTCCTGTTGTGGTGTAACTCAGGGGAGGTGACTGCTGGCTATATTTTATGTTAGAGCAAAAATGGAGTGGGATCACATTGCCTAAATGCAGGCATTTCACACTACTCGGGCTCCTGAGCTCTCCTCAGGAGGTTGGCGGATGCAACACGAGGTGCTCACCTTGCTGGGGCAGTCACGAGAGACCGAAAGCCGTCACTCAGGGCCCACAAAACAGAAGTGCCAGAAGCGCAGAGCGTGCCAGCCGCAGGCGTACCTCGCGGAGGTTGCCAGAGGTTTCTGGAAGCAGGGTGCTGCCAGGACCACATCCCAATTTGCCCGGAGCTGCCCTGGCTCAGGGCCCGAGGGGTCCCGGCACCACGTGCGGTGCCGCGGTAGGGCCGTCCGCACCCACCCCCCTGCCAACACGGACGGACACGCTCATGGCTGCTTGCTTGGGCACACATGGAAACCTGGGGGCCAGGAAGAAGCAGGGGACTGGAGGGCATCTACAGGAGCAAGAGAAGGGAGAAGAGAGGCAGGCTGCTGGTGGTGGCAGGAGGCAAGATGTACATCTCGCAAAAGTCTCCCCAAAACAGAGAGGGGAGCAACGAGTAGAAAAGGTCGTAGGAGAGAGCGTGAATACTCAGCTATGCTGGGAATGGTATGGGAAGAGCAAAAACTCACCCTGAACGATGAACTCTGTCTCTTCTTCTGTGTGCAATTTTCCATCCTGGTGATAAACAGTCACCCTGTACTGTCCACTGTCCTGTTTCACCACCTGCTCTATTTGCAGACTCCCGTTCATGAATACCTTACACCTGCACTGTTCCTTCCTCACATAGTACGTAACTTTCTTATCTTTTATCTGAAGCAACTTTTTCCTGTCTCTCACCCATGTTGCATCATATATGCTCCCAGCAGTGGGGGTACTGAGAAGAACCGACTCATTTACGGCCGCGTAAATCCATTTGGTGACAGAGCCTGTAAAAGGAAGGACAACCAGCCTGTCAGTGTGCCTCCAGCAGCCCCCGCTGCCGCAGTCGGCAGCCACAGCAGTGACCAAAAAGGTTGTCACTTGCTATGCCCCCCCCCCCGAGTTGCCTAAGCCTAGGTGCCTCTTGATCGTTCATTAGATAAACGTCAGCGCCAAACTTAATTCTGAGAGGCAAGGAAGCTAAGAGTCCATCTTTCAAAAGCTGGCTTTATACTCTGGCTGACTTATTTGGAGTGATTTTTGATGCCGAGATTCATGTCTGCCTGTGAACTTATCCCTAAACTTAACCCTTCCTGAAAATAAGGTCAATTTGGTGTGTTTCACACGTGGCACAGGCTGGTACCCAGAGCACCCATCACTGCAAACGACAAGAACACAAACTGGTAGTGGCCCTGGAAAATAGGATCAGTTCAGCAATAACAGTGATGGCAATACTACTACTACTACTACTACTACTAATAATAACAGTAGCCCATGTCAAGCAGTGCATGAATGCAAGGCACTGAACTGGAGGAAGACCCAGTGCTGCCAGCTTGCATTGCCCCCTCCTCACCCATCCTGGGCACCCGACCCCACTGAAATATATCCACTTGATTTTTCTAGCACAAGATCATGATGGGGCAAGTAAGGCAGGGAGAAACAAACAGCTAACCACATCCTCTGGACCGATTGGGCACTGGAGACATTAGGAGATAAGCAAAGGCCAAAAAAATCTTTTCTCTTTGCAGGTCTCCTTTGATGACAGGTCCCCCCTCCAGAACAGGTAAGAGTCGGTGCTTCCTAAATGTGCTACCAGGACTGGGCAGCGCTTAGCATGTGGCTGCTGAAGGGGGTGCTCAGGAAAGCCAAGGCTGCTGAACATCAATCACGTTGCTACCAGTGGAGATGATGCACTCTTCGGGCTGTGCCTGGGTGGCGTGTCCGCTCCCCTCCAGGCTGCTTCACACCTTCGCAAGGCCCGTCTCTGGTGAACTGGGGCTTCGGAGTGCAACGTTTGTCAGGAGGTCACTTCAAGTGAAGTACTGTCTCCACTCCCGTGGCAGGTGGAAAATTTGCAGGAGGAGGTAGAAAAGTGCTCACAACTGTCGGGTGGGATAAGCTCACTGATACCCCAATGTGCGCTCAGAGCCACAGCTTATCTCATTTGTCATTTTCTTACGTTCATTCCTTTTCAATTTACAGGATAGAGCCGACTGGCAGGAGGGGATTTCTCTTCACATCACCAGATGGAGCTGATTCTGCTCTAATTTTATATATTTTAAGCACTTTTTCTCCACAGAGAGAAAAACTATGTTTATGCACATTTTTGCTACAGTCCTTCATTCCTAGTATATCTAGGACAATAATAAACTACATCACAGAAGGGAAGCTGAAATCCAGTTGCTATTTCATGAAGCTAACAATGTTAGAGATAATCAGAGAACTAAAATAGTGCGCCTCTGCAACAATAAAACTATTGCTGAAGTGCTTCCGGCAATTCACCCCTAGTCTAAGGAGAGGCTGTTACTTCACTGTTGCATTTCTTACAAGATATTTGATGTATCTAATGAAATATTCTGAAAACTAGCTAACACCCAAACAGTCTTGCAAGCAGCTATCCTCCACACAGATGACACTATGGATTATACCCAAATATTTGAATTCTGATTCTTGTTTCTGCTCAGTCATGCACAGGTATTTAGAGCTAGTAATAGGATTTATTTGCATAACAGATACTATAATTTATTTTTTCTCTCTGGAAGTAAAGGAAAAAAATAATCCAAGTTTTCAAGGGTAATTCAATGGCATCTCTATGGACAGACCACCTAGACACATCTCTGGATGTTTATCTGATCTCCATAGTCTTGCTAATGGAAAGCTGAGTATTCCATACATATGATACTAAAAAATCTGTTTAGCTAATGAAACAGCATTTCTGCTAATGCCAGCTGAAATGCCCTGTAAGGGGCAGAAAGATCCAAACTGGCAGCGTAGAGCTCACTTGCAGTCACAAGAGCTAAAAGGAAAAGCTCCCATAGTGACTTCAGAGAAGTAAGGAAGTCTTTGAAACAAGTTTTCCATTCAAGGCAATAATCTTCATTTCTGCTGGGGAAGATGTTCTATATATCATGTACAAACAAAATAAAAATCCCTTGTTTACCTATTAATTTTGTTCTGGAGGAAAAGAAAAGCATTAAACAGCCATATTTACAATCTATAGTGGAATGAACAGAGAGAAAAAAATCTATGCATGATTGTATTGTCTCCATCTCTCATAACCTGCTCAAATCTATGAATTAACACCTTAATTAAGTTTTTAGATTAATATTTTAAAAAATAATGAGAGCAATAATACGCAAAACATAAAAGATTTATGTATTTGCATGCTGTTTTCCCATCTTAGACTTCTTCAACTCCACTGAAAACATTGAGATATATCACTCTTTCTGTTAATATTTATGGAAGAATATAATTTGCACTTTCAAAAGATTTGCTCATCTTTGATAAGAAAAGGAAATTACATGCGATAATGCACCATGAACTGGATCTCTAATGTAATACAAGCTACCTCGAGGGCAGAGAGAAAACTGCATGCTGACATTTCTCATTATACATGTGTCAAATTAAGGCTCATTAACTTAAAACCAAAACTGTTTACAGCTTATTATTATAACTGGAATAGGAAACTCAGGTCCTGCCCTCCCCCCAGCTGAAAATTAAATCGAATAATAATAGCAATAGCCCAGAGGTCTTCACTCATTGGGAAAGTGGAATTAGTTTCTTATCAGTAACATCCCAGCAAGTTGTAAATGGTTTAAAACACAATTTTAACAATGCTAGCCCAAAAGAGAAAAAAGGGTAAGAAAAACTCACATTTTACACTGGCAAATAAAAGAAGCAAGCACTTGACTAGGAAAATCCTCCTAAAATTCATTTTCAGGGTCAAAACCATCCAGTGTTGCCTTGTCTAATGGTGGCTCCTGGCAGACGAAAGGATTTTTTTTGCTGTGAGCAAGCAGTCGTGGGACGTGTCAGTACAGCCCCCATGCCCTCCTCCCCTCCTCCAGCGCTCACCCTAGCACTTCTCGTTTCTAGCACAGGCACAAAAACCACGGGCAGAAATACCGCTCAGTGAGGTGATTTATCACGGTGGGGACAACGTTCAGTGACAAGGAAAACACACACTAAAATGCAGGAATGCCCCCGAGGTCTGGCTACCCAGCTGGAGGGCCAGCTGAGGCCCTTGTCCTTTTTTAATGTTCACACAATGAGTTCAACTCCGGCATCCACATGCCCCCATCCTAGTGGGACAGATACGGTTTTAGAGGTGGGGGGTGATGAGAATCCTTCTGCTCCCCTATAGCCTCAGCAGCAGCGGGGGGGACAGCAAGCCCAGGTCCCCCAGGGAAGAGCAGGTAGCCAACGGCTATTGGGCAACATGCAAAAAGGAGACACACTTCCCTTGGAAACCGTCAGGATCAGCCTGACATCAACATCTGATCTATGAGGCGCTGCCATTCGAGCAACCTGTGAAAGAGGGATGGGCGGGAAAGGGGATGAAAACACTGCCTTGGGTCTAGCCAGAAACCAGCCCTGAAGCTGGTCGGTGTGGGAAAGATGGTGAAAAAAGAAGCTGGGAGGAGGCAGGGGAGTTAGGTCCAAAACCAAGTGAAAAGCTAATAAAAATCTTTATTCCGACATGAAATAGATGGGGTGGCAAGGATTTTGAATCATATCATGCCCAACACAATCCCTCTGCTACAGCAGCCACTGAAATCTTCCAGCTTTTTATCGCAGAGGTAGACCAAGAAAGGACAGAGAAGAAAAGCTATGGCACAGGAGATGTACAATCATTTACATGATTTTCCTTCCTTGAAGTTATAGGAAGATCTTGTAAGACACCTCCCCTTCTCCAGCTAACTCATTTTTAGCTGGTACTAAAGCTGGTAAAAACTAGCCTTTTTTGCAGAAAAGTAGAAAAAGTTATCTGAGGTAAAACGTGCTCAGGTCCCAGTATTGCTGCCCCTGTACATCGCGGGAAAGCCTAGCTTTTCTTCCTCCTTCTCGTTATTGTTTCTGTACAAAGAATGCACAAAGGAGGCACATATAAAAGGAGAGAGGAAGCAAAGCCGGCAAGATGGCATTTCTGTGCTTGATCTTTACCCTCTGCAGAGACAAACAAGCCGAGGGCAGGGGCTGCCGTGCCCAGGCGTCTCCCCAGCCAAGCAGACTGTGCCGGCAGCACCGACCCTGGGCGGCTGCGGGCACCTCTCTCCCCGGCCACGCTGGCAGGGATGCAGAGGTCTGTATGCTTAGACACATCTGCCTCCAGCCTAAGAGCCTACAGGGATTTGGGCAAAGGCAGCAACCCCAATCTCTCCTGCATTTGTTGGTTTTTTTGGGTTTTTTTTTTTTTGCTGGGTCCATAAAGCAGAGGGGAGGGAGGGCCCCGGGAATGCTGAAACCACTGCCCACGCTCTGCTCGACCTCGTCTCACTTCTCCCTCAAGGCAACACCCCTCAAAGCCACCGCCTGCTTCCAGCGTACCCCTGGGCTTTGGCTGTTTGTCGGCACGCTCGGATTGCCAGCGCGCTGGGGCAGGGACCGTCCTTCCGCTCCGCGCACACACAGAGCCTGCTCGGTGCCGGCCTCTCGCTTGGCACTGCACTGCAGGGATTGGTACACATGAAATACAAAGGGAGAGGATGTGGGGGGGGGGGGGGGTGAAGGCAAGAGATGGGAGAGAGGTAAAGCTCCACAGCAGCAGAACAAGGCTTAAAAGGATGCCCTGTATTCATAATGAAGGTCTCTACTTTCAGTTAATCAAGTTTGGCGTGCCCAGATGCCCGTGCTCTTGTAAAATCACAGCTGAAGTGACTCAAACTAGAAGCCCCTGTGCTCCATCAGACCAGTTACAGAGCATCAAATATGACATCCCTTCTCCTGCTAAAGCAACAAGTAGACAGGAGCAAGAAGCCACTCCCCTAAAAGACATAAAAGGTCTGTTCAAAAATGAGTTTGCTGTGAGCAGTGAAGGCACTGGAGTGTTAAGTGCTCAATAGCTGATGTCCACTGTGCACCACAGAAGTGACACCAGGCCCTTGTACTTCTGAGCAATTGTGTGTGTGTGTGCATAAAATCAACTTATGTAACAAAAGCACAGCCGAGCCAGCAAAGGGGCACACCACCCACCTGCAGCAAGGATGAGCCATGAGATCCTGGCATGTGCATGGTCCGTCGCACCAAGTGGCCCCTTTTTTAAACAGCGTCAGAAACCCCCCACACCATCAGACCCAGCTAGACAAGGAGAAAGCAGCCCATGTCTCTAACCTCAGCCTTCCTGACAGATGAAAAATGGGGAAATGGCAATGTACCCTGCAGCTTTACCATCCCTCTCTTGAGGAGCAAGACAGTGTTGTGCTGCAGTCCTGACTGGGCTTCGATCCCCATTTTAGAAGAAGGAAGGTATTTTCTGGCTGTTACCGGGAGAGAAGCACTGGAAGACCCTGCACTGATGCCTCTGGTTCCCTCCGAGGACAGCCCCAAGGGAAGGCGCGAAGGAAAGGGTGTCTGAGGGTATCTCTGGAAAGCACAGCAGCTTTGGGATGTTGCCCCAGGGCAGCTCTGGGGGCCAGCGTGTGGCGTGGGGTGCATGTCCTGGGAACAGCTACGGCCGCTGGCAGAGCAGTCCCCCCGCACCGACCAGCAATGCCCCTCGAGGGGCAGGACAGGCACGGCGAGAGCTGCTGCTCGCGGCTGTGTGCTGCCACAGCCCAAACGCCGACCCGCGCTGTGCCGGGCAGGACGAGGCCAGGTCGGCCAGGCCTGCAGGTCCCCATGCCCTCACGCCCCTCTGCTCGCTTGCAGACGTCCTCTCTCCTACCCGTCACACAGGAAGTAACGCTGCTGGGCTGAACACAAGCCAGCCGGAGAACCGGGGCACCGACAGAAAAGGGGATGTCTCCCAGTACGGTGGTGCTGGACCTGTCTTCAGTCAGGCCTGTCAGCCCACGGCTAAGGACGCTTGGCCTCCGTTTAGCCCACTGCAGGGCTAGGCATCTCCATCTTCTGACACACAGCAGAGCAGAGGACCGAGTGCAGCCATGACAATGGGGTGTTTCTTTGCAGCCACTGCTATCTCTGTGGCATTGTTTCCACTGCAGAAACCACAAAGTGCTGTAGTCATATACATTTGCTTTTGTTGCTTGCTCTCTCTTTTACTCTTCTGTTCTTTGTAATACGTTAAGCAGTTTCCTCACAGGGAATGTATTATACTTACATTTCCATGTAAAGGTGACAGACTCCCACACATCTGAAGGCAACATCTCAAGAGACAATATGCAGCTGTTCCCATCTCAAAGTCTTCAACTTAGTGATGAGCCAATAAACATTCATGCCTGAGGCTTATCAAAAAACAACAAAAAAAAGAGAATGTTATTAGATGCACTAGAAAAGGAAGAGTACAAGTACACTTAGCATGTTCTTCTCAAGAAAGCCAGTGTGTATTTGTAGCCCATCTGCTAATTTGCACCAGTTCCTCTGCCATGAAGGTTAGTTCATGTCAAATGGCATTTGCATGGGATACTCTGCCCTGAAACAGAGTCAGACGCCCTGCACTCACCACCACCCGAGACCTTCACCGTGAAAGATGACAAAAGTATTGTAAATTCATACCTTTAAACCTCTCACAAAGACAGGCCTTTGGTGGGGCAGAGCTTGTGAGAAGAGCAAATGTGGTCTGGACTGGAATGGCAGATGGGTAATCTCATGTGGAGAGGAAGCTTTGGATAAGACTAACCTTATTCTTGGGAGCTCTCCGGGGTTTGCATCCTCGCCTGAAAGACGAACAGCTGGGCTCCATCTGGATTGCCCTGGACAGTACTGAGGGTTTCCCAACGGCGCGTTCCCTTCCCCTTTACTGTAGCTTTTAGCAGGACTGGGGGAACGGTGGGCAGTGGCTGGAGTGAGGAAGAAGCAAAGTCAGCCCTGGCAGGGGGAGTTGCCCTGCACTGTGAAACGCCGAGGAACTGCTGGCTTCCACACACAATTTCAGCCATTTGCCTGACGAAGGCCACACACCACCTCCTCTTCACTTCTGCCTCGTGCAGAGCCAAGAAAGGAAGAAGGCCAGCTTAAATGAAGCAGTGCAAATATGAGGGTCATGACTGCAAAATAAAGCTTTGGCCAAGGGTTTCGTGGGGATGCTGACTCAGTGGCTTGGAGGTTGTTACATGCAAACTGAGAGCACTGCTTTGCCTGTGCGCAGTGGAAATATTCCAAAAATAGTGACACACCCTGTCAGCATTGAAACGGCTGTCTGCAGAAACATTTTTATCCTTCTCTAAAAAAAAGGTAAATGGAAGCTTTCAAACTGTGACACATGCAGAATAGTCCTCAGCTGATTATTTGAAGAGAATTGATGTCCATAATACCACATCATCAGCCCCAGATGTTCTCTCTCGCAGACTTATTTTTCTTCTTTTCCACCTGTAAACATGGTGTCCGTCTGTTCCTACAGACAGACAATTCAATGCATCAACTCATCTAGCCCTTCCAGCTAGCAAGCTGTGAGGACAGCAAGGGGGGGAGCAGAAAACAGGAGCTGAGGCCCTTGCCATGGCAAGACGGCAAGGTTTTGGCTAGCTGGTATGGTGGGACACCCTCCTCTCTGACCAGGCAGCACCCTCCCTCTCGCCTGGGTGACCCAGCCCCACATCGGGGCTGAAAAGCAACGGCAGACCCAGGTGGGCCGCTCCTCGGGGCATGGGGGCCACAGGGCAGCAGGACGGGGCTCACCCCCCGTCCCAACCGTGCTCAGCTCTGCTGCCAAGGCGCCACGCTCACGCAGGAAACGCCAGGCAGCTGCAGCGGGGAGCTGTGACCACGCTAGCAGTGAGCGGGCCTTTTCCACAGCAGGGGAAAGTACAGGCACAAGGCTGTCCCTGTTTCTAAACGTTCACAGCCCATGGCTCCCGCTGTCAGCTGGGA